TAAAAAACCCTTTCTCTACCTGTACCATGTACAGCATTGGGGTTCTGCTTCCCACATAAAAATCATTAATGACGTGTCTTCCTCATGAAAACAAGGAGAATTGCACCTTAGGGATGGTCATAAGAGACCTACAAGTGTTTATAGAAAGACCATCTTGGCCATGGAAGGCCTTCAGGTTAGTCTCAGCTCTCTGGTCTGGATTGTCATGGAGTATAGAATTGCCATAGACTTCCTCTTTGTACAATTACTACTATATCCTGCTGTACCAGGATTAATGACTCCAGCCAAGTAGAAAGGTAACTACAGAAACTTAAGGAAACCTACCTGTCTTTCTAAGACACATCCTGACGATTTATGGGATTTGTTCAATTGGTTGAGTCAGGGACCCTCCGGGACATTATTGAAGTTGTCAGTCCTGCAACTTGGCCCAAACTCACTGCTTGGAGTCTTGTTTAGAATCATTTAAATAAATGTTCCCTGAGACAAATTGAGCAGATTTGGTCTCAGATCCTGTTGTCAAATTAATCAGAATCATTGATGGAGTGGTGTAATCATGAGAAATTTTACCAGAATCCAAGACATTATAGGAAAGAGTGGTGGATATCCATGGGTTTTTCAAGTTTCTGCAGGTCTTCTGGGCACAGTCATGGACAGATTTTTTTCCTGACTATCTTTTCAAAGATCTGTGTGTAGAAAACATCCTTGTAGGGTAGAGATAGTGTCTCCTCCCGAGGCAAAGATGAGATTTTTCTTCTGTCTGTCCAGACAAATAAAGATAATGTTTCCCACCAGGCAAAGGCTGGGCAGATTTGAGGCTTGAGGGGCTACAGTAACCAATGTAAATATCAAGCTCCTATAGTATTACAATAAACAATGTCCTTTTCTCTGACCCAGAAGTCTCGTGTCTTCTACCTGCATTAATGAAATCTTTGCAGCCTCACTTGTTAGTTTTCAAGTTTTGTAAAATCTTGAATCTTCAGAGTTTCTTATATTAGCCATATTTGTTGTCTTAGTCGTCTAGTGTTGCTATAACAGAAATACCACAAGTGGATGGCTTTAATAAGAAGAAATTTATTCTCTCACAGTCTAGGAGGCTAGAAGTCCAAATTCAGGACACCAGCTCCAGGGGAAGGCTTTCTCTTTCTGTCAGCTCTGGAAAAAGGTCCTTGTCATCAACCTTCCCTTGGTCTAGGAGCTTCTCCATGAAGGAATCCCAGGTCCAAAGGACATGCTCTGCTCCCAGCACTGCTTTCTTGGTGATATGAGGTCCCCATGTGTTTCTGCTCGCTTCTCTTTTATATCTCAAAAGAGATTGGCTCAGGACACAATCTAATCTTGTAGATTGAGTCCTGCCTCATTAACACAACTGCCACTAATTCCATCTCATCAACATCATAGAGAGGATTCACAACACATAGGAAAATCATCAGATGACAAAATGTGGACAATCACACAATACTGGGAATCATGGCCTAGCCAACCAAATTGATACACATATTTTTGGAGGACACAATTCAATCCATGACATATGTGATTCAAATATATATATATACATATCAAGTCCACCCAGAGATGCTTTAGAAGAAGGCCTGATGATCTACTTCTGAAATATCAGCCATTGAAAACCCTATGGAGCATGGTTCTACTCTAAACCACATGGTGTCTTCATGAGTCATAACTGATTTGATGGTAACAGGTATATATAGACGGAACCCTGGTGGAGCAGTGGTTAAAGCTCTTGGCTGCTAACCTAAAGTTCGGTAGTTTGAACCCACCAGCTACTCCACAGGAGAAATATGTGGCACTCTGCTTCTGTAAAGATTACAGCTTTGGAAACCCTATGGGTTAATTCTGCTCCGTCCTATAGGGTCCCTATGAATCAGAATCAACTAGATGACAATGGATTTAGTTTTGGTTCATACATATACACACACACACTATATACATATATATATATATATATATATATACATATATATATATATATATATTCATGTATGGTGCAAACGGTTTATACTCTACTACTAACCTAAAGGTTGGCAGTTTATATCCAGCCAGTGGCACCTCAGAAGTAAGACTTGGAGATCTGCTTCCGTAAAGATTATAGCCAAGAAAGTCCTATGGAGTAGTTTTACTCTAACACTTGGGTTCACAGGAATTGGAATCGACTCGATGGCAATATGTTGAGTTTTTTTGTGTGTGAGGAGATATAGATGTATATATATACATGTCTTAGTTATCTAGTGCTACTCTAACATGAATACCACGAGTGGATGGCTTTCACAAAGAGAAAGTTATTTTCTCACAGTCTAGTAGGCTAGAAGTCCAAATTCAGGGCATCAGCTCCAGGGGAAGGCTTTCTGTCTCTGTCGGCTCTGGAAGAAGGTCCTCATCATCATCAGTCTTCCTCCAGTCTAGGAGCTTCTTTGCACAGGAACCTCAGGTCCAAAGGACATGCTCTGCTTCAGGTGCTTCTTTCTTGGTGGTATGAGGTCCCCCAACTCTCCGCTTGCTTCCCTTTCCTTTTATCTCTTACAAGAGATAAAAGGTAGTGCAGGCCACACCCCAGGGAAACTCCCTTTACATTGGATCAGGGATGTGACCTGAGTAAGGCTGGTGTTACAATTCCACTCTAATCCTCTTTAACGAAAAATTACAATCACAAAATGGAGGACAACCACACAACCCTGGGAATCATGGCCTAGCCAAATTGATACACACATTTTGGGGGTGACACAGCTCAATCCATGACAGTACATATTCTCTTACTTGTTTGGATTATGCTAAAGGAAAGGACCGGAAGGCTCACTCACTTTCCAAGTCAGAATGGGTTTAGATGTGTAAAGGAGCCCTGATGGCACAGTAATTAAATGCTTGGCTGCTAACTGAAAGGTCGCCAGTTTGAATGCACCAGCCACTCCTCAGGAGAAAGAGGTGGAAGTCGGCTTCCTTAAAGATTTATAGCCTTGGAAACCCTATGGGGCAGTGCTACTCCATCCTACAGGATCGCTATGAATTTGAACCGACTTGACGGCAATGGGTTAGATGTGTAGGTGGCGCATAAACTTGGAGAGCAAATTGATCAGTATAAAAATGGTAAAGAATGTAAAATGCTGGGGCAGGGAAGGCACCTGGGAGAGAACAGAGACTGACTGGTGGGATGGGGCACAGCCTGCATGGGTGGGGTGCGGGGAGGGGAGCTGAGAGTCCTTATGGACAGAGCCAACTAGAAGGGGATTTGGGAGAATTATTATTACTCTAGGAGTTTGTGATGCTCTATGGGTGTCCTGTCATCTCTCCCCTGTGTCATCTTACAGTGTCTTTAATAAAGGCCAAATGGCTAACTAAGGTTTCTTTTATTTTTTAAATTGGATTCTTTTGGAGATAGCTAAGAGTGGACTAAGTTCTATGATTAAGTTGATATAAGGCAGAGACAGATTTTTCAGGGCAGTCTAAATTGAGTAAAATGGGGTCCTGAGAGTGTAAATCTCTGGGAATTAAAGAAAATCTCAGGCTTTGGAAATTATGGGGGTCAGACCCCAGAATTCTAAGGAGGTGAAGGTAGACACAGCTGATATTTGGGTTATGTGTGGAATGACATACCCGGAATAACTACTTTTTCCGAAGTATATTTAAGGTGGGATGAGAGAGGATGGAGGTGGAAATAGGGCCAGAGAAGAGTAGAGGATCCAGCTGGGCCAGGATGGGTAGTAGTATCGGATAGACCAGAAGGTACAGGAGAGGCCATAGGTTCGTCTCCTTTGAGCTTCCTCTCCCAGCCTTAAGAATCTTTTGTGTCCATCAACAGATAAATAGATAAACAAATGTGGTAAATACACACAATGGAATACTAGTACTCAGCCATAAGGAGAAATGAAGTCCTGATGCATGCCACAACATGGATGAACTTTGAAAACATCATGCTGAGTGAAGTAAGTCAGTCACAAAGGACAGATACTGCCTGATCTCACTAATAGGAAGTAAGTAAATAAATAGAAACCAAAGAATATTAATGGTTACCATGGGTGAGAGAGAGAGGGAAAAGGGGGATTTTTTGTTTAGGGGGCATTGAATTTATGCTGACTGAAACGTCACCAGTTTGAACCCACCTGCCACTCTGGGAGAAAGATGTGGCAGTCTGCTTCAGCAAAGATTTACAGCTTTGGGCACCCTGTGGAGGCACTTCTACTCTGTCCTATAGGTTCGCTATGAGTTGGAGTTGACCATTTTTTAACGAATATTTAGTCCTCCAAACTACACACTCCAAGAACTGAAAGTCTCAGCCACTGACACAGGGTTGAGTTTCTGCCTCTCGGGTGTATAAACGATAGAAATGAAAATGATGATCTGAGGGGTGTCTGCATGGAACAGCACATTCGTACAGGAACAGTTTTGCATTTCACGTTTTAGTTTACATCCCCTACACAGAAAATTCCAGCTCCTCTTAATTGCTTAAATTCCAACTGCAGACGTTCCCGTATCCAATCACTTCAGCACAACGCCCTGACCTCCAAGTTTCAAACGCCTCACTCACCCACTCCAAAAATAACTTTCGACTTTAACCGTTTGTAAATTGTCATGAGGAAAACATTGCAGCTTCCAATCTACATGTCCCACACAATTCTAAGCTTTTATCTTAAACTGTCCGAAACAGTAACTTAAAATACGCAAAGAGCAACTCTTCTACAGTCCACACTAAAAACATGCAACGGTTTCCAAACCTTGAAAACTGGAAACGACCCGCATTTGAGGCGGAGGGCAGCCCCGCCCTGTCCCCGCCCATCATCCGCTTTCTGGGCCCAACCCTGGCCCGCCTCCTCGCCCCGCCCCTTGCGGCTTGC